TAGAGTTGGTATAGTAGAAATGAATTGCCTTAGCCCATTTGGATCATGAAAAGCTTTTCATTTTCCTTCAACTCTGGTTCATAGTTTTTCTGGGAACAGTAATCTTGGTTGACAGTTATGGTTTTTAGAACTTGGAACACACTGCTTTAAGTTCTTCTGGCTTTCAAATTTTTCTATTGAGGTGTTAGCTGTTTTTTATTTAGGAGTTCTAGTTTTTTTCTTTATGTGTCACTTGGGCTTTTTCTTTAGCAACTTTCAAGAATATTTCTCTTTTCTTATGTAAATGATGTAATTATGATTTGCCTTAGGGTCTTTTCTGTTCTTGTCTAGTTGTTGGGGTTCTGTTTGCTGATCTTGTTTAGTTGGGGGTCTCTGTGTGGGTCTTATCTAGGTGTTCTGTGTGATTCTTGCATTCCTATTGATATGCTTTTTCTTAGTTTATGGAAGCTTTCTTCTATGGTGTTGTTGAAGATCTGGTCTTTGCCACTGACCTTTCATTTTTCTCCCTCATCTATGCCTATAATTTGAAGATTTCGTCTCCTGATGGTATCCCACATTTCCAGCATGTTTCTTTCCTGTGCTTTAAAAAAGTAATAATATCTGCTTGGTTGTTCTGGTTCCTCTACTTATCTTCAAGTCCTAATATTCTACCTTCTACTTGATCCATTCTATTTATAGAATCTCCCGATTTTTCTAGTTGAGTTACTTAGTTTTTCAATTACAACTTCATTTTAGCTTGAGTTCTCATCGATGTTTATATATCTCTTAATTGAATTCAGTTATTTCATTTAGCCTTATGCTTGTTTTTTTTTCTTTCATATCCCTCAGGTCACTTCAATTTCATCCTCTTTAATTTTATTGTGCTGTTTGTGTCTTCCTTAAATTCCTTGAATTCTTTGATAAAGTTTGTGATTTCTCTTTTAAGGTCTGTATCTTCAGTTTCATCTACGTAATCCTCATTGGAGAGCATTTCTAGCAGGACTGGTGAATTTCACGGAAGGGTGCACAATGTCTTGATCCTTTGTATTATTTTTATATGAGATCTGGTCATGTGATCTTCTATTGTTGGTTGTGTATCTGATGTGGACAGAGAAGCCTAGACCGGTGCTTAAGATGTGCCACCTGGCCTGGAACTGGAGGTTAGGAAAGATGTAGATTCGACTCACCAGGCTAGGTCAGGATCTTTTTTTTTTTTTTTTAATTTTTTTTTTAATTTATTTTATATAACAAAGTCCAATTAAATGAAAACAAACATTTATACACAATATTTGGGAATTTGGGCGTTGTTCTTTCCAAACTACTTCCTGCTGGTAAGGGGTGCTGTCATGGGGGATTCGAAGAAGATTTAGAAATCCTGGCTGTAGTCTGTAAGGCTGCTTTGTCCAGCTGTTTTGAATGTAGGACCACCTCTTACTCTGTTTCAGGCGGTCTGGCATGATCAAACCACATTAGTCTGGAAGGAATCTACATCTTTTCATTTTCTGTGGAAACAAAAATAGAAATCCTTTTCCCCAGTAACTTGTCCTTGAACTTAAATTTTGGAGTCAAAGCATTTTTTTAAATTTAATTTATTATTTTACATGTCGATCCCAGTTCCCCCTCCCTTCCTCCCTCCATCCCTCCTTCCCTCCCTCTTTCCCTCCCCCCTCCTTCCCTCCTTTTTACCCTCTCTGCCCTCTCACATGCACTCTAACCACCCTTCCCTCCCATCCCCCTACCCCAATTCCATATGTAGGGGAATGCCATCCAGTTGGGGTCATGTAGATCTGACAGGTCATGTGAAGTAGGGACTAGGGCTTCTCTCCTGTTTCTAGATTAAGGCAGTTATCCCTCCTTGGGGATGTGTTCGCAAAGTCCTTTTGTGCACCAGGGATACATCCTGGCTCCACTGTCTGAGGTCCCTTAGACTGCTCAGTCCTTCTGGCTGAGACCCATATTCAGGGGGGCCTGAGTCAGTCCCATGCTGGCTTCCCAGCTATCAGTCTAGTGGCCGTTAGCTCCTCCTTGTTCAAGTAAGCTGTCTGTATGTGTTTCTGCTGCATGGTCTTGTCCTCTCCATCAGCATCTGGGTTCTAGTTCGACTCAGTGTTTATGTATGGGTGTTTGATCCTGTTTCCAATAGGCATTAGTTGAGGACTCCATGGAGAAGTTAGTTGTTGATCTCACTTCTGTTTGTGAGTTCAGGTGTAGTAGGTCTGCTACCTGGGCAATGTACAGTCAAGTTAGGATCAGGCAGACTTGCCAAGCTTGTCCAGTGTATAGGATGTGTGGGCCTCTCTGAGCCTTAAGGATGGAAATAGCACAAATTGCTCCATGGTGATCAGAGTTTGGAGGAGTTGTGAAGGGGAACACAGATAGATTACATGTATCTTTATGCCAGGTGGCCTGTTCTAGTGGGTATGGAGTCTGATGAGTTACAAGAGGAGGGAAAGAGTCCAGGAGAAGGTCAAGATTCCTGGCAAGAAGCAATGGGCAGAATGGAGTTGGGTGGATTACTTCATTTGTAGACCTGGTCATCAACAGTAGAATTATATCCATTTCATTTAATCTCCTAAGGACTGCCAGTTGATATTTTTAAAGCTATAAATATCATTTCCTTGCCCATTTTTCCTGCAGCTTAGTTTGCCAACCATTGAGTATGAACCTAACTGCAGACTTTGCTGATTTGACTAAAATATTTACTTCACTCAGTGCCCATTAATTTTTATTTCTGACAGAATAAGCATATGGATAGAACTCTCCATGACGTCAGACTCTTGGAACAAGAATCCATTATAAACTTAATTCCTCATTATAATTATGTGATATATATCTCCCCTAGTATTTATGAAACTACATTAATTAAATGATAAATGAGATATTTGGCTTTTAATTTTATGCACTTCCTTTTTTTAATAAACATAAAATTCTAATAATGGTATCTATCTGCCTATCATCTCTATCATCTATCTATCTATCTATCTATATATCTATATATCTATGTATCTATCTAATCTGTGCTTGTGTATATAATGTATTCATTTACTGTTAATTGTTACAAAGACACTTGTTTATTGCCTGAATAGAATTGTTTGGAGTATTATTCAGATTAAGGTAGAAATTTCCCTGAAAGCAAGAGGACATAATCTTAAAATAAATTGTTGTCATTTTCACTATTAGCATACATACTTATTCAATTATTGCATAAGAGGAAAATCTTCTGTTCAAATTTTAATTACTATTCTGTTTTCTAAATTGATATCAAACAAATATTGATTTGAAATAATCATAAAGACAACTGGGTAACCCTTTGGTTTCTGGTGTGTGACTCTTTCATTAGTAGTTAAATTATTAAGTCAGAAGATGAAATAGTAACACAAACTTTCTTTGGGTTAATTACATTGCTCTTAATTTTCCCTCTTTCACAATAACTAAAATCTTTTAGAATGTAATTTGTAAAAGCTGTGTGCAAATTCCAGTGACAACATAAAAAATTCTGGGTGAAGTTTTGTGTTTTTGAAATATTTTGATTTATTTCAGATGCAAGATTAGAGTTTTATATGTATATTTAACTTTTAAAAAATATAAAATTTTAGTGTTTTTAAGGCATTTCAAAATATGTAATTAAACAATGTATCTGTCTTCAATTACTCATGGAAAATGGGAAATAAATTCATTAAATCTTCAAATGTTTATGAAATGTATATTATTTATCAATTACTATTTCTCATACTTGGCATACATCAATGAACTAGAGTTAAATATATTGCCTTGGTGAGGATTTATTCAAGGGATGCAATATAGATAAGAAGTAATGCATGTAACGAGTAAGTAATGACAGAGAATTTCACAAAGTGTAAGTGAAACACTAAATCAACCTAACCAAGATAAATGAGGACTATTGGGGTCAGTGATACAATATTTAAAAATACAAGTTAGTGAAGACTCTTTCAGAGATGGAGCTTAAAAGATACTGAAAGATACAGCAGTTAGCCATGTTGATGTCCTGGCAAGAAAATATCAGGAAAAGGATAAAACAAGTGTGAGGGACATAAATGAGGTCTAAATTCACCCCTCTGTTTTGCAGGAAGTAGTTCTTATGGCTAGGATGAGGTAAAAGAGGAGATGAATTTCTAGAAATGAGTGAGAGAGGTAAGGGGACCCATTCACACAAAGCCCCTAACCATTGTGTGGATGGATATTTTCCTTTTGGTGGTATTAGAACCATAGCAGGGTTCTTTCAGGCTAATGCATATTTAATTTGATAAAAGCTCCCTTAGCACTTTATTGTAAGCGGAGAAGGGGAAACTACTACTCAGGATACTGCAGTAATCCTGGCTAGTGATGGTGCATTGGTCCAGGAGCAATGATGGAGAGAATGAGCCAGTGGGTTTGAAATCTATTTGAAAGCTGTGTGGGTGATTTCCTGACAGACTGGACATGAGAAAGAAATGAAAAAAGGAATAGGTTTCCTGAGATTTTTGTTTGATTGATTTTTTTTTCCTGGAAATTTTCATTAGCCATGAATGAAGATGCCTAAAAGTGCACAGTGCACATGCTTTTAAGTGATGCTCAGAAAGTCAAAATAGAGTATCTTATACTGATGATACTTATTTAAGTAAAATCTCCATAGGCATTGGCATCTGTTCTGAAAGCACCTCTTCAGAAAATGGTATATGAATATGCACCACATATTTATGCTAAGTACCACTAATGTGGCTGAATTAATGAATGACCACACAGTAAATAGTACTCAGTGAATGACAGCACTAGCCTATGCCTGACATATGGTGGCAATAGAATTCTTTTTGGAACCTTATAAAGCAAATGATATTCTACACTCTACAAAAGTAACTCTACACTCTACAAAAGTTCTCAGTTAAGAGTCAAACTCTTGCTTAACATATATAATCTCCTCCAGAGACTTTATCCATAATCTCATAACAGAAATTGCATACCTCTATACCTAACAGGCAGTCATTTGTTTAAAACATACATTTTTGTTTTCCTTTAATTGGCAGATTATAATACCAGTGAACAAAAACAAGCCTGCAAGAAGCACGAACTCTATGTGAGTTTCCGCGATCTGGGGTGGCAGGTAAGATTGTTGAACTTAAGTGTTTCTTTTCTGTTTTTATCTCAAATCCTTAGCGAGTCATAGGCTTTGTTAGTAATTGTTCCAGTATAAGAATCATTTTTGAAAACTGTTCAGCATGTGGTTCAGGCACATCATTTTCATTTCCTTACTATTATTTCCTTATTGGAACACAATGAGTTGTGTTTAACAGCCATCTAAGGAAATATAGCATTCTTAAAGTTAACATTTAAGAATGGGTGAAAGCAGTGCTATCTTGTTTCTCATGAGTCAAGAGTCTCATTATGCACTTGTTGTCAACATTTATGCTCTGACTGAAGGAAGGCCTTGACACTGAGCCTGACCCAGCGAAGGCCTTGCCACTCCCATGTGTCTGAGCCACTAGGGTCCTTGATATGGCCATGCTCGTGTCAAAGCACAGACTCACTGAGGACTTCAGCCACTCCCCACCTTTTCTGGTTCACTTGAATGCCCTAAAGTTAATCATTTCCAGTTTAAACAAAGTTTAGAACGTTATTTTGTGATGATAGTTTTATTCTCAAACACAGAACGATTAATGTATACTACATTTTATATAGTTACCTCTTGGAAGAAATTAGAAATGATCAGTTGTTGTGAAAATGTCCATACTTTTGTTGTAAATTTCAATTAAAAATTAAAGGATGTAGGAAAAGCTGTACTTTTAGAATAACTGTTTGACTAAGAAAGGAAACTTACTCAGGAGGAATAACTTTAGTCACTCCTTAAGAATTATCTTTTTTTTTACTGTCACTTACCTGATATTAGTTTTTTGACTTTGTACATTTCAGGATTGGATCATAGCACCGGAAGGATATGCCGCATTTTATTGTGATGGAGAATGTTCTTTTCCACTTAATGCCCATATGAATGCCACCAACCATGCTATAGTCCAGACTCTGGTAGGTTCTGTGCTTATGGGGTAGCAATGGGTTATATAACAAACATAGTATAGAGTTGCTTTAAAGAAAATTTAATTATCAACCTCAAGTTCTTAAATTCCTTCATAACTTGCAGCCAGGGTTAACAATTGTGAGCATATGAAGAAATTCAGATCGTTTTAAGTCAATAACCTTGGTCTCAAAACTGATACAAATTCAGCTGAGAAAACTGAAGTAATTAATTACTATGCAGCAATGAGTTTTAAACTAGCAATTCACTAGTCATCTTTGCTGAAACATTGAATAACAGCTGCACTGAACCACATCTGAGAGATTTGACATAATTATTTCAAGCAAGTTCTTAATATACATTGGCATTACAGTCATTGAATATAATGTATAAGTAGTAAAACATTTCTATTGAGTTTTCCTTCTCCTCAGTTGCTCTTTTTTTCTGTCATTTTCTACTTCTATACTTCTAGATATGTAGCAATGATTAAATTTCTAGTAGCTTCAGCATATTTCTGTGCTTATGGTACTGAAGTGTTGACTCAGGGATCTGTGATTTTACTCCATGTAATGAACATCACCCAACCTCTCTTGACATACTGATGTGTCAGAGGGTAGTTTCTGGAAGATAGCAGTTTCTTAGGAGGCACACTAGATTGTGCCATATAATTGCTATGGGTTAATAATGAAAACCATGATTATGTATCTAGGAGGAAAAGCAGAGGACACAGTTGTAGAGCCACAGAAGACTGATAGGAGTGGAGTTGTGTTGCTGATTATAGAACGACCCCATTATGTGAGGGAGGCTTATTTAGTAACCTCTGCTCCAAACTCTTAGATTTTGTATTTGACCTCCTAAATTTACATTTCCCTTAATCCATTTGAACTCAAAAGCTGATGGACAGAGTAGCTAGTTTCTAAATAAGGAGAGATAAATATAATATAATATGATATAATATAAAAAAGAAATATAAACAGACATACCAAGTACTTAAGTACCTAGATGCTTACCTGCTAATCACTCTTGACTTAAAAGATACTGTAGCCTCTCCTGGCTTGTCTGAAGCATTTGTCTATGGTGGGTAAACATGGGTTTCATAAAAATTTTTAGAAATAAAATCAGGGAGAGGACATGAAAGAAAGCAAATTGATGTTTTAATAGGCAGTCACATATAAAATGTTCTTTTCATCTGGGCGGTGGTGGCACATGCTTTTAACTCCAACATTTAGGAGGCAGAGGCAGATGGATCTCTGAATTTGAGGCCATCCTGGTCTACACAGTGAGTTCCAGGACAGCTAGGGCTACATAGAGAGATCTGTCTCTCGAAAAATACAAATATTCTTTTTTTTTTATGAGATAGCCTACTTTAATGACAGTATGTGAGGCATAAAGTAAATCCCTGGGGAGAACTAAAGTCAGATAAGCCTCACTTCATAAATACTTCTTAATACGGGTTAGTATTCTTGAGCAATGGGGAGCATATAGGCTCTGCAAAGGTACTTCATCAGACTTCTACTGGTAGATTGAGAACAGTCATGCTCACTCTGTATGTAGTGACAGAAAGGAACAGCTACTGTTAGTTTATGTGCTGAATAGTTTTAAGTCACCTTGACACAAGCTGGAGTCATTTTGGAAGAGGGAACCTCAATGAGAAGATATGCACTGCCCCCTTCACCCCCAGATTGGCCTGTGGCCAAGTCTAGGATACATTTTCTTGATTGGTGATTGATGTGGAAGGGCTCAGGTCATTGTGGATGGGTCTTCTCTGGGCTGATGGTCCTGGGTGCTACTAAATAGCAGGCTGAGCAAGCCATGAGGGGCAAGAAAATAAGCATCATTTCTCCATGACCTCTACGTCAGCTCTTGCCTGCAGACTCCTGCCCTGACTTCCTTGGATGATGGATTACAAATTGTAAGATGAAATAAACCTGTTTCTCTTTAAGTTGCTCTTGATCATGATGCATTATCGCAACAGAAAACCTAACTAAGATAGCTTATAAAATAATGCTACTTCATTTCTCAAAATTCTTGATCTATTTTTGTTTTCATTTTTAAATTAATGATGCCTGACTATAGAAGCAGAATTTTGCTTTCTTAGATATGTAGCATATAGATCAAAATTCCCTCATGCTAAACATGAATACTGATTGAGAAAAAAATCCTGTCATTTTCTTTGTTTTGTTTTTCTTTTATAAATATATAAATAAGTATTTTAGTTCTTATGGCTATAGTGTAGAAGTGGTTTTAAGAGAAAACAAAAAGAAATCCTGATGTCAAGTTGGAAGACCTTCATCTGTGTTGCTTATTATCGTGGTATTGAAGACACATCATTGCAAGTCTCAAACTCCCTGGGCAAGGGTGTCTTTAATGTTTCTGGCGGTGTGTATATTCTTACCTTGCTCTGTGAAGGACATGGAATGAGAAGACAGGCATGTTAAAGAACAGCATGTTTGTGATAAATACGTTTGAAGAATCATTAAAAAACAATCCATTTTGTTTGGAGCAGATGCGTATTGAGGCTACCAAGGCCATTGAACCCTGGGGGTTATCAGTCATATCTGTGCCAGTCATGGGAGATAAAGCTGACAAGGGATAGAAACTGCATCTGAAATCTGTAAAACCTCTCCAACTTTTAGTTTTGTGAGGTCTTAGGAGATTTTGTGCGGTGTTCTTGCTCATATGCAGGGCTCCTATATCTTTTCAGCCAGAATACCATGAAACCAAGACTCTAAGAGGCCGTGTTTGCCTTTTTGTAGGTCCCTTAAGGCTCATCAGTGGGACTTCCCATAAACAAACTCCTTTGGGGGAAGGGAAGAGTAGGTGGGAACCATAATCTGGCTTCAAGTTCAGGTATTATAACCTACAGGAAAACTGCCAGTCTGATCGAAATGAGTACCAAAGTTTTATTTAAGCACTTCACTTTTCCATTCAGCAACATTTTTAGTTTTGTTGTTAAGGGAATGTATATTCAATTTGCAAACTATCTGGGCCCCTTTCTTCAGCTTCAGCTTGCTTTTTGGTAGTTTTCTAAGGATTGTATAGGGAAAGGAAAATGATGCGAAACTCCAGTCAGTGTGGTAAAAAATTTTATGAAGGAGAGTTGAAATAGTTGCTCTAAAACAAGTACCGGATTTTAAAGAAACTTTTTATTCTTCTCTCATACATTACATCCTGACCACAGTTTCCCCTCCCTCCACTTCTCCCAGTCCATACCCCTACCTCCCTTTTCCACACCAGATAAACTCTTCTTCTGTTTCCCTTATTTAAAAAAAAAAGGTCTAACAAGATGAAATAAGACTGGGCTCAAACCCTCATATCATGTCTGGATATGGTAATCCAGTAGGAGAAGGGTCTCGAGTGAAGGCAAAACCAGTATAGGTTTTATTTCATTGTGGATTTTAGCTTATCTTTACTGTGTAGGAGTAAGAGTTGGCACAATGTTTGTGATGCAGTGTTTAGCTATTCAATTACAATATCCTGCAGACTTAACATTTTCTGTAGTCCAAGTGTGTCTGCACTGACTTGAGCCCACAGCCTCTGTTATTTTTGTAGTGGACACAGAAGATACTTGGCCAGTTAAAGGAGGGCAGTGCTAAGTGTCATGTCATCCCCCACAAGGAAAATTCCACTGAATGTTCCATACAGAGCTTGCTTTATCTGATGGGCTGCATTTCAAGCCCCCAGTACTCACTTAGGACTGTCTGATTCTTAGTGATTGTTGATTGAGAATACATCCTGTTGGCCATCCCCACCTCCAGTCGTCTATTGTATATAAAGGATCAGATGATACAAATCATGATATAAGCATCATATTCTTAAAGCTGTAAATGAAGTGTTTACCCCATTTCTCCAAGAGCCACATTTTCCTTTGTATCTCCCGTCTTTGCTAGGTACACCTGATGTTTCCTGACCATGTTCCCAAGCCTTGTTGTGCTCCAACCAAACTGAATGCCATCTCCGTTCTCTATTTTGATGACAGCTCCAATGTCATTTTGAAGAAATACAGAAATATGGTAGTACGCTCCTGTGGCTGTCACTAGCGCTAAGGAATTGTGGTAATAACAAAACTGATCTGCACCATGTTTATGATGACAATAAAAAATGACAATAAAAAAGCAGATAAATGGGGACTTTCTTAAAATAAGCCCAAGCCATTTTCATCTCTCTATGTATGATATTATGTATATACACTTTTTATTTATTTAAGAATATGTATTCTCTTTTGGATGCCTTATCAGTAAAATCTATTTTAAAGGTTCCTATATTATATAATAGATTCCTACTCTAACTTTTGATGGGGTGTGCTGAGTCCAGTTTAATTCTATGTCAACACTTTTTCTAATACTATTATAAATAATTTCGGATATTAAGTAGAATTCCTTTGACAGCTTAAAATATTTGAAGGGAAATGAATACATTTGGTTATATTGCACCAATGAAAACTAAAATAGAATATTCAGAAATAACGTTTTAAAAACTAGGCACCCAAATTAAAAAAAATAAAACATTGCTTGGCTAAATGAAAACTTTCTTTTAGCACTTATGCTTCATTGGCTAAAGTAAAATGTTGAACTGGCTTTGAATAAATAAACAGTAGGCAGGACACAGGAGCTGAAGGGCTGCCTGATTGTTTTAACTGTTCTCTTTAATGGAATTGGTGTAACTCTAGGAGCATGCTGCTTCTGGCTTCTGGGTTGTAGGTTTTTTTTTTTTTTTCCCAAGGTCAAAGCTTCAGAAATTCTCTTGGCACAGGCTTGAGTCTATGTCCACACATTTCCAAATGGACACTCAAAAACACAGTACAGCCTTACCTCAAATGAATCATACCTGACCATTGTCTCGAACACTACCGCTACAGTGTTTTATTCCCCTTATTTAAAACTTAGTCCAAAGTCAAGAAATATTTGCATGTAGTTCATTTTCCTCCCTAGAGACAAGAGTCACTTCATGCATAAAATGTGTTAGAACTGAGGATCCCAATAGCATAGTTAGCATTTACTAGCCTTTGTAATAAACGTTGCCGGTTGATGTGATGCAAGGGATTTTATTTAGGGGGAAGCCATTGAAATTAAACTGAAGGAAAAAAAAATATACCAGGATGGCTATGATGGAATTGCCATTTTCAGACAGCTAAGAGCCATTTTTCATATTTTTGCGAATAAGCTCAGTGCAAACCTGATTTTATAAGGGGATTTTGAAACCCTTTCTCCAAGTACAATAGGGAAAGTCCTGGAATGGTGTGAAAGTGTGTTTGTACACGTGTGTGCATGCTCTTCTCTCTTATGTTAATTTATTTTATCTCTGTTGAAATGGTAACTGGTCTCTAAGGTCCTTTACAGCACACACTGGCTTTTTGAGGAGTGGGGTCTTTAGGCTGATCACTTTCTGCTGCTGTTAGCTGCATGGTGAGGCTTGTAACAGTCAACTGGAAATATTCATAAGACACTGTTAATTAATCACAATCTGTAACTTCCAAGCAAAAGTCTATCATTAGGAATTTCCAAATGTTGTGGCTTGTTTATAATTCAGATAATTTACAATGTTGTTTTAAAACACAGTTTACAGTATAGAAAGTATGGTATTGACTATATTGGGGGGATACATTAAGTAATATATTTTTAGTTAATAAGTTAATAGTATACCATTGAGGATAAGATTAGAGATTAAAAAATAGAAATCTATTATATTATTCTTTAAATGTGCTACTTGAATGTATGTTTACATTTAAAATATATTAAACTTGTCATGCCAGCCTCTGTTATTTTGTTTGTGTGTGTGTGTGTGTGTGTGTGTGTGTGTGAGTGCATTCATGTACATGTGTGTATATGAGTGTGAGTATATGTGTATGTGTGTGGCATAGTTCTTTATTTAAAAAATATAAAATGTAAGTGCATCCTATATTAAAGTATTTAGCAAATATAAAGTGTTTTTTAATTATGTGGACCATTACTTGCTTTCAATTGATGACCCCATTTGTACCTTTCATAGTTAACTATTAAGTGGCCAAAGCACCAGTCTATGAATTATAGCTTAAAAATCTGTCCAAACAAAGAAATATTGAAAATAGCAAAAATCATTAGAATGGAAAATATTTTAATTTGTTCTTATTCATCTAGAACAAGAAACAAGAAGGAAAATAAATGGGACTGCAAAGTTACCCAGTGTTACCATGGAAGCTTCAGGACCTGAATTCAATCCCCAGAACCAAGTAGATAGATGCTGCAGTGTGCACTTGTAATCTTAGTGTGGGGGAAAAAATGGAACCAGCCAGCCAACCCAGAGGGTGAGACTCAGGTCCCGGTGAAAGACCCAGTCTCAAAAACAGTGTGGGTGTCTCCTCGGGAAGGACACCCGAGATTGACCTCTGGCCCTCACTAATGCTTTCTCACATACACATGAAAACCCATGAGCACATACATGCATGTATACATAGAAACACTCTAATTGACATTGATTTTGTGTCTTCCACAAATTATATGTAGGTATACTCATGATGTTCCCAAATAATTTTCATAAATTCTTAGTAATATTTACTAATAATCTAGCTATTACCAGAAACAAAAATAATGGTTTTTAATAGATTTAAGCCATTATAAATAGTTAGTGTGCTGACATTTTTGTTTGTGCACTTCAGAACTTTTTCTGCTTTACATCTGTCCTGCTTCATGAAAGTTCTTTGTCGAGTTTGGATGTAAGAGGACATAAATCATAAATACTCAAGTTTTGAAGAAACTAAGGCTAAAAGATTTCGCACAGAAATAAAGAAAACAGACTGAAAAATTAGTTTTTCAACGGAAGAACCATCACTTTGTATTCCCTGTATCATCATCATGGAAGCTGAGCCAGAGACTCCTGGCAACTCTACAGTCTGGCAACTGTGATCTCTCAAGACATTTACAATGAATAATTAGCTTACACTGCAGTTGTGCTCAGGGCAGAAGAAATCCTCATCCCTAAACACAGGCAACCACCTCATAACCGCTCAGTCTAGTGCTCAATCTATCATTCAAAGTCTGTGTGGAGTCACGTGATTTCTTCTGCTTTCTTGTTCACTCTGTTTGAGGGGAAGAAAGCTGGAAGACTTAAAAGTTTAGAGTGAAGATCCCTCTGCTGGTAAAGTATACACATCACTAAATATACATCTGTATTTTATCAAGTTGGAGGAGATGAAAACTGAGGAGAAAATATGAAAAATTATAAGCAATGGCAATGTTTTCTCTTATTTAGGTATAGAACAAGGCCACACTAAAGTGGTTGTTACAGAAGGAGCGAAGGGACTCAGATCAGGCCACTACAATACTCATTAATGGCATCTGAAAGACAATGATCTCAGAGATGAAAATAAGAGAATATGTAGCCTTTATAAATCACCAAAGTCCTGAAAACTAAAACCCTGTATCAAGTTTTCCCCCTTACTCTCCATTTTACTGAAAAATTGATGTTTGTACACAGTGGGGAAGGAGATTCCCTATATCTTCAGTTATGGAAATCATAAAATTATTTATAGAGGAGAGAGAGAGAGAGAGAATAGTATTTTGAGTGCCTCAAGACTTTGTCAGTGCAGAAACAAAAGCTAACCTGATGATTTAGCAGATTTGAGTAATATTGTGTCATTTCAACACACCGTGGTTACTAATGAATAGTGAAATACAGTAACAGAGAATTCAAATTGTAGATTATATTTATTTTCCTGCAACAAAAAACAAAATAAACAAAAAACCCCAAAACATTCCCAGAGTAAAAGAGCAATTTTAAAAACTTGAGCCAAAAGATTGATAAGGAACCTCAAATTGCACAGTAATCATCCTTTCCTCAATAAAACACACACACTCAGGTTCATACATGTGTATAAATTTATACTAAAAATGCTCATTATTTAAAACAATTTAAAATATATATATATTATATATTATATTTCAAGTCCTTATAGATTCTCCCCGCCAACTCAAGTTCTTTTTCAAAAATATCAAACAAAACTCTGAAAGAACATCAACCTCTCCAAACCAATAAAACAAAATGCAACAGCATCCCCAAGCCAAACCAAAAACCACCAAACTGCAATAGCAAAAACAAACAAACAAAAAACCCAACAAAACTCTGAAGTCCATTGTGTTTGGTCAACTTCTAACATGAGGCCTGTGCTGGACTGGTGATAAACTTAGTGCCACTCTATTGGAGATAACTGTTTTTCCTCTCACCAGGTAAAAATGACAGGTCAGTTGTTAACCTTTACCCAAGTTGCTAAATATTCATTCATTCATTCATTCATTCATAATATAACAAATTAAAATATGAGATAAAACAAAAGTTTTATCAAAGGTGGATAGATCAAACTAACAGAAGGAAAGAGCTCAAGAAAAGGCACAAGAACCATGGACCCTTTCGCTAGTGTATTCAGGAATCCCAGAAAATACTAACCTGGGAGCCATAATACATATGCAGAGGAACTGGTGCAGACCTGTGCAGGCTCTGTCCATGCTGCCTCAGCTAGTGAGTTCTTCTGAGTTCTGCTCATGTTGATTTAGAGGCCTTGTTTTCTTGATGTCTTCCATTCCCTCCTTCCCCCCCCCCCCCGCTCTTACACTATTTCCACATCCTCTTCCATGGGTCTCCCTGAGGCCTGAGGGGAGAGATTTGACAGAGACATCCTATTTAGGGCTGAATGTTCCAAAGTCTCTCTCTCTTTCTGAACACTGTCTGGCTGTGGGGCTCTGTATTTGTGTTTGTTCCCATCTGCTGCAGGAGGAAGTTTCTCTGATAATGGCTCAACAAGGCACTGATGTATAAAACATACTTTTAAATGTGTTGCAAGGTTGTAAACAAACGAACTGATCAAAGCAAGGAACTAATCCAGGGAAGCCAGAGTAGAGTTCAGGACAGAGATTGGAGTGTTCACTGTAGTCTAGAGCTTTGGGTTCAGCCACCAAAACTTAGAAGCGGGAACAAATATTATGAAGTGTAAGAGACCAGATCAGAGACTACTGCATAAATCAGGAGAGCAAGCAGGACCCGATATCAAGGAAATTTGTCTTGGCTCTGCAGGGTGAGAAGAACACAGCATCGTGGGATATTCATGGGAACATTTACTAGAAATC